GGTATTTTTCTGTTACTAATATACAACAGAAACAAACAAAATCCGTTTCATAATTGGTTAGTGAAAACAGGGTGGCTAATACTCGGAAACGGAAAATGGTCCGTTACTGTTTGCAACGAAATTTGAAACAAACATAGTCGTTTCTAATAGTACAGTAGTAGCAACCAAATTTGTAACTGATATATTTGTTTCTAATATTTACTACCAGCAACCGAATCAGAAATGGAAATGTCCGTTACTAATTTATTTCATTAGCTACGGATTTCGTAATGGATCGTTTTGTTCCTAATGTGTCTATATTAGCAACCATATCATTAACAAAAAAATCCGTTGCTCATAATATTATAAATTATATACCAAAATTATAAATTACTTTTATTGTTTGATTATTTTTATTATAATTCAACGAATCTAAAATTCACTGCGTTGAATTGATGTTTTAATGATTGTAAATTTGAATACATTATATTTTATATATATAACAATTTACAAAATAAGAGAAGAATAATCGTATAAATTAAGATGAAGAACACAATGGCAAACCATATAATATTATTCATTATTACACACAATTTACATATCAACGTTCCATGACATAAAAAAACAACAAACAAACATATCTATCACATAAAAACCAAATGTAACAAACATTTCTATTAGATAAGCAACAAACATTTCTATCAGATAAAAAACAAGGCATTAGACGTGAACAACTGTGGAATCAATATTTTCAACATTTGAATATCCACAGACATCATTCGACAAGATTTTTCATATTCTTGGGCATCGGATATGAATCCTTCATAGATGGGTGGATAATTCAAATCAAGCCACAGCCTATCGTGCTTCTCCATGTTTGTGTTCAACCCTTCTTCCTTTATTTGTTCTCCCTGCTATAATTTTTTTATCGCAAAAACATAAAATGCAATTATAAATATATTCATTGTATATATACTAAATTATATGATAAAAAAAAGTAGTTTACAATTATAAATATATTAATTATGCATATACTAAATTATATATAATTATAAATATAAATAGCTCATTAATACAATAATACATGTAAATGAAAAATTGTCTCATGTAATTCGGAGGTTGGTGGTAAGTTTAAGTCCAGACAGTCTGTCATAGAACTCTTCTTTATAGGGCGGCGTAAAATTCAGATCTAATGACTCACTCCATCTCATCTGTGTGCCACTAGGACATTTTATTCTCTGCATCTTGTGACCAATCCCTAAATGAAAAAATACAACCCTCAGTAAACACTCCAACGTAACGAGAGAGAAAATAATATGTAAATAGTACTTTGTAACCTCCTGTGGAAGGAGAGGAGACGTGGGTAATGTGGGGTTGGAGTAGTTAGCCTATATACATGAATAATTATCATATAAAAATTATTAAAAATAGTAACTTATCTAGGTGTATGAGGTAATATTTTTTTTAGGTTTTAAAGAAAAATATTATTTATTAATGTTAATATATTTTATTATATTTTAAAATTTAAAACCTACAAATTTTTTTTTTTTTAAATAAGATCTTGTTTAGCTCATTAGTTTGCGTACTAAAGTTCTTAAACCTTCATATAACGATCATTATTATTTTAACATAAAATTATTACTTGTATAATATCGTATAAAAGCTATCACAAAGTGATATTTTGTGCTTTTTTAAAATTAACAAAATACAAATTATTACTTCAACTCTTATAACGTGTTTTTTTATATTTTTTTAAATTAAGATTTTCAATATATTTTTATTTAACAAAATACAAATTATTATGGTTAATGTAGAGATGAAATTTATATATAAAATAATGTATAAAGCCATCATCCTTTTACCTAAGAATCCATTATGTGCATATCTATGACGTTAAATAAATCTCACCAAAATAATATATTGTTCTAAATCTTATTAAATATATCCATATATTTCCATTGTTTTCATTTATTTTCAAAGTTTTCTACAAGTATTTTAATTTATGTTGGCTGTTGTATATTCGCACTTTTGTGCCTTTGATTTATTTATATATATTATCGTTGGAAAAAAAAAGTTTTCTATAGTTTAAAAAACACACATGTATTAGAACACCCAACAAAAGATATAGCACATGCATTTGAATAATAATTTAAGAAAGAAAAAAGAAAATATTAAAATTTTCCCCTCATGTGTATGTATTACTAGTATTAAAAAATATTGTTGTTACTATTATTATGAAAAATATTGTTGTTCGCAAATATTAGATTATGTTTGCAAGCGTGTTCATGATTGTTTGAATAATAAACGAGCGGAATTATATGTTCACGCTCGGCTCGATTATTAAACGAACGAGCCCTAAATGAACACGAACGAACTTTTATTCGCGAACGATCGGTTTGTTTGCATCACTATATTAGTCAAAAAGAATGATAATTGTCATGACTTAATTAGCTTATAGGAGTGAAAAGAAGAATCTATCATGATGTAAAAGGAACTCGATGGTAAAATATTAAAATAATGAATCCCCACATGGAAATGGAAATTAAAAGTTGGGCCTAAACTGTCATTTATTAAACAATAAAAGTAATATTAATGATTACATCATGACTTAATTACCTTTTAATAATAATCTAATTAAGGTCAAATACAAATGAAAAGACAAATTATCAAAGCACCTAAACAGTTAAACGCCCCAACATGAGTCATCCCATGATTTAATCACCTTTAAGTGTGAAACATAGAGTATGATCAAATGTAGCACGAACTCATATATTCAATGAATAAACACACCCACACACATAAAAAACTCTCATATGTAAATCAACAAACTTAATTTCACCTGAACTAATCCCCTAATTTGAATGTCAGAGCAAGAATGTGATCAAATTATAAGAACACAACAATCAAACTAACAACAAAATCCCAAAATGCATATTAACAAAAACCCATCACATATATGATCCCAACCAACCATTAACATGCTTTAAACCTAACAAACTGGAAACACGATAACTATAATCAAAGTAGCTAATTACCTAAATAATGACTTCGAAATAAACAAATGAATATAGTCAACATACTACCGTCATTTCATAGACGACGATTTTTATTTCAAATTCGAATGATTACCATAACAGTAGTAAAGAAGCACTATTTCGTTCCCGATCCTGAAGGAAATTTCGAGTTAGGGAGGTTAAGTTCTCGAAGCATGCTGCGAATCATTTCACTTAATTCTCGACGGTCCTTTCTTGCCCGACGTTTCATTCCGTGTTTAATTTCAGCAATTTCATCCTTGGCTTGCCGCTTTATCTCTGCAATCTATTCAGCCACTTTATTATTCAACTCTTGGCGAATCTCCTTTTCTAATTCATCCCTGCTCTTTGAAAGCTCATTAATAAGCTCTTGCATTGTCGTGAGCTTTTCGTTCACCTCTTCATTAAATAACAAGTTATCACGTTGAGATGCTTGCAATGAACCAAGAATGTGTGAAGCTCGTTCTGCTGGTGTAAACCCGTATACACGACCTTTGTTTGGACCATTTGTCGCTTGTGCCCAGGCTTCGGCATCAAAAACGGGCTCCTCAGACATATCAATACCATGCCTTTCTTCAATAGCAGCTTGGTATTTTTCCTACACGACATGATTTTCAAAACAAATAGTTTAGTTAAATTTCACAATTTTTTTTTTAATAATATTAATGTTACAATATGCTGACAAGTAATTGTAGTAAGTAACTAACACATACAACTTCTATAAAACTGTTTTTAAGAGCAATTATATTTTAAAATAAAAACTTGATGTAAGTAGGGATCTTTTTAAATTAAGATTAGGTGGCTCATCTCTGTGTCTAAACAAATATAATGATGACCTACCCCATTAACTAATGCAGGAACAAAAAAATTGAGTCTTTTTTAGTTAATATGGAAATGTATCCAATTAAATCTAAAGCACTTTTGGTTCTTGATTATTCTGCAAATCAAAGTTTCACTTTTAACATTTAATAAACAGTGAACTATAGCATATATATCACATATATCTAGTTAGCAATCGATGGAAACTTACAATAACATCTTTAGACTTGTCGTCGACGTACTCTCCATATCCTTTGTTGCGCTTATGAGTTCTAGCAAATAACTCAGACTGAGTGACTTTACCTTTTTTTGCCTTCAGAGACTTGATGCTATAAATGTAATAAGGTGATCAAATGTAGCAAGAACTCAGATATTCAATGAATAAATACACCCACACATCAAAACTTGTCATCTGTAAATCAACAAACTTAATTCCACCATGATCTGATCCCCTAATTTTAATGTTAAAACAAGAATCTGATCAAAATATAAAAAGTCAACAATCAAACTAACAACAAATACTGTGCAGTTCTTTTGGATCCCAATTTCATGCTCGTCGCAAGGACACGATGCCAAATTTTTGAATTATCCAAAATTACAGGTACAGGATATAAGATCCAGATCGTACAAAGATTCCATTGCGCACGAGTTAGAAATCCACCTAGCCAAAAAAAAATGTTATGGAACAACATAATTTTATTCAACTTTTTCTCGTATAAAAAAGTTCAAAAAAAATGTGTGGTAATTCACAATAGAAGCATAACCAATGCTTCTTTTTACCAATTTTAAGAGCTTCACTACAGTACACAATTGTGAATAGTTTGTGAAATTATGAGCTACAGAAATAAACTTACCCTTCCTCAGAAACTACATCACTTGACTGACGAAGAATCCCCTTTTTATTATGTATGGAATTAATACACATCATAGAAGGCATTACAAAAGTCCTGCAATAAGAAAATATAGGATGAGTGTAAAAAAAATACACAACTCTGCTGGGAAAGTGTAAAATTTCATATTACAGAACAGAAGTGACAGCATTTAAATACACATAGATTACCATTATATAAACAAAAATAATATTATAAACATCATATGAATAAATTATCTTACAAATTTAAAATCTCATAATAACAAAGAGAAATCATAATTACGTAATAACACACCTAGTTATTGGTTTTCGCTTCTAGTGGAGGAGGAATCAGATTCAGGGTCCTCTGCAAGCATAGCATTATCAACTTCTTCGCTACTTTCACCTGACTCTGAAATGCAATCTTCTTCGATACCTATCTCCATTTCAGCTGCATCTACTTCTGCATAAACATTACCTCTATCCACAAGATCTGCATCATCCAACTCCGGAGTTATTGGAACATATGAGATATTATTCACGGATGGCTCTTCCTGAAATGCATGGTCTCCTGACATAATGCACTCTTCATGATCATTGGAGACACCTCGTACATCAATCAAATGTCGTGCTTTTGTTTTAACAACAGCCCAGAAATCTTGTCTATGTTTAGCAGTAGACGGAAAGCTTGTATAATACACTTGTTGTGCTTGTTGAGCTAGTACATATACATTGGTCGAGAGCATCTTCTTTTTGTGATTGATCTCAACCAGGTTAAATCTAGGGTGTACCTTGATACCCTTCTCGTTGTCAAACCAATCACATTTGAAGAGTGTAACTCTATTGTTGCTCCCAATATACTCCAATTCTAATATCTCAGTTAGGATTCCGTAATAGTCAACCTCAAACTCATTGTAACAGCTTCCCAAAACACACACACCACTGTTTTGTGTTGCTTTGTTCACACCATTACTATGGGTGTGAAATTTGTAACCATTCACGAAGTAACCGTTGTAAGTTCGAACACGTCTGGATGGACCCAAGGCCATATCTCTTACACGATTATCTACGTCATTCTTATCATCAGACACCTTCAAGAATTAAACAAAATGTATAATATATATGTTGTTGTTGAAACACAAAATCAAAATATATAGTAATTTAGATAAAAGTACGGCTTACATATTTCAGTAACCACCGTGGAAAATAATTGTCTCTTAACTTATCGAGTTCACCTTCAGATACATGGGGTTGTTCTGTCCTTATGAAATTGTCAAACTTGCTGCAAAAATAAATAAATAAATAAATAAAAGAAAGCATAATGTTAGAGCGTCAATCATAAATAATAAACTTTTAAATATTTTTTTTTTATAAATTACACATTAATATTATTAAATTAAGTCTTACGTGACAAATGGAGAAATTTCTTGACAATTTAGAAGCACATAAAGTGTCGCAGCCTTAAGCTCCTCAGATGTGAGGAATTTATAATTTGCAGTTTGGCTACCAATGGGACGTCCTGGATGAGAAAAAATTGACAAACGTCCCGCGGCATCAACATAACCTCCATCATCATTTCTTGGTGCACGATTTATTTTTGTTTCAATGTCATTGTTGAAATACATTGAACAAAAATTTGATGTCTCCTCAATCAAGTAAGCCTCGACTATGGATGCTTCCACTCGAGCTCGATTTGTAACCTTTTTATTAAGATGGTGCAAGAACCTGTGTAATAGAAATCATGTTAGCAGAATTACAATTGAAAAAAAGTACATTTAATATAATAATTTTTCTTATAAAATTTGATTTACTGATTTCGGTATGTCTCTTTTTAAAATAATATATATCCAAAAATAAATGTAGACAATATATGCTTAAAATAAATTTTCAAGTATTGCTTTTCGAAAATGTCATTTCACTATATAATAAGACATAGCACAAATTTTACTTATAAGTTAATGTGTGTTTAGTTTAAAAAACGACATGCTATAATAATCAAAGCAAACCAATTAATTACCTCTCAAATGGATACATCCAACGATACTGCACGGGACCTCCTACCTTAGCTTCATATGCAACATGTATGGGTAAATGCTCCATAGAATCAAAAAACGATGGTGGGAAAATTTTTTCAAACTTGCACAACGTCACAATGATATTTTCTTCTAGACGTGCCATGTCTTCCACTTTCAATGTAGTGGAGCATATATCCCTAAAAAAATGGCTCATTTCTGTTAAAGCTTCCCAAAATGGCTTCGGTAGTGCATCCTTAAATGCTATTGGTATCAGTCTTTGCATAAAAACATGACAATCATGACTCTCCATTCCAAACAATTCTGAATCATCCTTTACACACCGTGCTATATTTGATGCATAACCATCAGGCATCTTTAAATTTCGTATCCACCTAAAAACCTCCGTTTTCTGCTCTTTTTTCAAAGTATAAGAGGCGTGTGGCTTAGAATATTTTCCTCCCTCATTTTGGATGATATGAAGTTGCGGCCGCTTACAGTAAATTTCCAAATCCTTTCTCGATTTGATGTTATCTTTTGTCTTATCCTTGATATCCATGACTGTGTTAAACACATTATCAAAGAAATTCTTCTCGACATGCATCACATCCAGATTATGCCGTATCAAATTAGTATGCCAATAAGGCAACTCCTAGAAAATGCTTCTTCTAACCCAATTGTGGGTCCGTCCAAAACCATCTATTTGGGAGCCTCTCATAGATGAGCCACTAACAACACCTGGAAGGTTATTAACAATATCCCGCATCTTTTCACCAGATAATCTAGGGGTTGCCACATCATTTTCTATTTTACCTCGTAAAAATTTATCACGTTGTCTCCTAAAAGGGTGATCTAACGGGAGAAAACAACGATGACAATAAAAAAATGTTGGCTTCTGGCTGAATTTTAGTCTGAAAGATTTTGTTGAACCCATGCAATATGGACAAGCCAACTGACCATGTGTGCTCCATCCTGGCAACATACCGTAAGCCGGAAAATCACTAATAGTCCACATCAATGCTGCTCTCATAGTAAAATTTTCTCTTTTATAAACATCAAACGTTTCAACACCTTCAGACCACAAAATTTTGAGTTCATCAATTAACGGCCTCAAATATACATCAAGATTTTTTCCAGGACTTTTTGGATCGGGAATCACCATACTTAGAAACATGCTATTCTGATTCATACACATCCATGGAGGGAAATTATAGACTGTGAGTATAACAGGCCAGCACGAGTATTTTGAGCCACCCATACTAAAAGGGAAAAATCCATCTGTACTTAAACCTAAACGAACACCACGTGGATCAAGGCCAAAATGAGGGTATTCTCTATCAAAATGCTTCCAAGCCTCACTATGTACAGGATGTGACATTTCACCATGAGTAACAGTATTTTTTGAATGCCATAACATATGTTCTGCAGTATGTCTAGACATAAAATACCTTTGAAGACGAGGAGTTAGAGGTAAGTGCCTAAGCACTTTGTGAGGCACCTTTTTGCCACGTTTTTCTTTAAATCGCGAGTGCTTACAAATCGGACATTCCATCATCTTCTCATATTCAACGTAGTATAAAATACAATCATTGACACACGCATGTATTTTTGTAACCCCGAGGCCAAGACTTCGTAGCATTTTCTTAGTTTTATAAAAACTATCCTCAAGGTTGTTATTTTCTGGCAACATACTCTTTATTATGCTTGTAAGACGATCAAAACAAGCACCAGAAATATTAAATTCAGACTTGCAGTTCAACAATTGAGAAGTAGCAGAAAGTTTACTCTGTTTGGTGCACCCAGGCCACAAAGGTTTATCGGCCTCTTCTTGTAATGTAAAAAATTCTTTTGCTTTGGGATTTGGGACTTCTGGCTCCACGTCATTATGATAATCATAATATTCATGATGCATTTCAGGCCCTATTGTATCAATTACCATAGCCTTTGTCGCGTGGTGTTCTGCACTTTTTTCCCGTACTTTTGTTGCAGAATTCGCACGGATAAAAGGTTCCCCATGTGCATCCCAATGATCATAACCACTCACAAATCCGTAGTTGTAAATATGATACTTAATATCTTCTCGATCACGAAACTCAGTATTGCGACAACGTGCACAAGGACATCGGACCCTTTTTCTATTGCCAGGCCGTGAAAATGCAAAATCAAGAAACTCGTTCACCCCTTTTATAAAGCCATCAGAAAGAAAACCACTACCGTCTCGTTGGTTGAACATCCAACTTCGATCAGAAGACATTCTGCAAAACAGATAAATAATAAACTTATGGATTACCCAGTGATCCCAAAGAATTCATATTTAGAATGTACAATGTTCAAGCAACAGTAGGAACATGATCACGCAGCTGCTTATAGTGTTAAATGAACCAAAAATATGAAAACAACATAACAATAATTTAGACATAGTCTATGACTAATTTTGGATGAAATAATTCCTTTTAACCTACAAACTAAGCATGGTAGCAAAACAAAAAAAAAGGACGATTCAGAAAAAAAAAAAAAAA